GAGCCCTCCCCACTCCGGTGTGACTCACAAATCCTCCTGGGAGAGATGCTCTGGGTCCAGGACCTGCATCTGAGCTCACCAGCCTTCGTGAGCAGCACCCACGTGGCCGTGGTCCCCAGGCACCTGGGCAACTTCATATTTGGTGGCCCATGGGTCACTTAAGGCCCCACTTCCCGCCCGACCCCCCTTCCTTCAACCAGAAAAGGAGCTACCTTACCAGTGATACCTGCACCTGCTCCCGAAGATGTCCTCGATGTCAGGCAAGTGGGTGGGCAATGAAGGGAACCCAGGAGGCAGCCCCACCACACCCCAGCCCCATCTGAGTTCAGCCATTGTCAGCCCTCCCCCACCCATCTCCCTGAAAGTCCTTCCATTCTGAGCACGCCTCCGTGGAGATGGACTCCACCGTGTATCTGGTGGCGAGTGTTAGCGGGAGGCGGGCCACACACCAGGCAAGGACAGAGAACGTTCCATTGTCCTCCTCCCTCTCCCCACACACGCTTGGTGCCAGCAGTGCCAGGCACGACCTCCACAGAGCTTTCGTGTGCCCCTGGAGTTGGGCGGGCAAGAATGGGGAGGGCCCATCTCCTCTTAAGGCTCATTCAGCATCCCTGTCCTAGAACAGCAACTTCCAGAACTCCCTGTCTCCCCCTCTCTGCAGCTGGAGAGGGCCCGTGCCAGGCTGGGTTTTCATGCCCAGGGATGGGCTCTGCCAGGGGTAGGGGGAAGGGAAATCAGACCCAGTGGAGGTGGAGGTCTAAGGTCTGGGCAGTGAAGTGAGAGGAGTAGTGGTGGGGGGAGGTACTGGGGGAAGGGAGCCTCTGGAAAGGAGTCAAGGACTCACAGATCCAGAGGACAAAGCAAGCACAGACTCGAGTGGTGCCATCAGATTGCACACATCGGAGTCATCCCCGAGCATCTGGGCAACGTGGTGGGCAGACACAATGGCACAGACAGAGGCCAGGCCAAGGAGCACGTCACAGTCACACGGCTCATACCAGCTACTGGTCACGCCAGCAACATTTTCCTCCTGAAAGATAGACCATACAATACCAGCTCTTTTTCATTTTTCTTTTTTTAAAGACCAAGCAACAAAGTAACTACCGCCTGCCAAAGTGACAAACGATCAGGGGCTTTGGAGCTGGAATGTATGGACTTTATTCCTAGCCTCCACTGTGTATGAGATAGTAAACCCCCTAAAGCCTCCATTTTTGCATCTGTAAAATGGGCTTGCAAACAGCACCTGCCTGCTAGGGCTGTGGTTTCATGGGCTCAGACTTGAACGAGCTGACACACTCATAGCACTTCGAACAGGATCTGGCTTAAACATCACTCTTATCATTACTAGTAGACAAAACAGACTGCATTCCCGAGGTGGATCGGGGGTTGGGGTGCATGTCGGCAATGCCTCGAGACTCACAGATGGGGTGGCAATGTGGCCCCTACATGGTGGACAGGTCACATAGAACTAGAAGACGGGCCTTCCCTGGTTTTGCAGACCTCAGAAAGGGTGGTCACTTTAGTGCGCAGAATGTTCTAGGTCTCTGGGAATTCTCCACCTCGTGAGGATTCCCTAAGTGCTGATGCCAGATTTCTCCCTGAAATGCTCAGCAGCCAGGTCCCTATTCCTCCTGCTCATTCCAAGGAAGTAAATTAACCTGGCGTTTTAAAATGGGACTTCTTTCGTTTTCTGTTTTCCATTTCAAAATCAGGAGCCCGATGCCTGCTCTTGGAAGGCTCCCTGATGAGACCGGCTCGTTCAGTTGGAGATGTGACATGGACCAGAGGCAGGAGTACAGGCCACAATATGAGCCTCCCCATAGGGTCTCACCTGACTGCACAGGAAACCCTCGGTTCAGCATCCTCCGTTTCTCCCAGCGCTAGCGTGTCGTTACTAGCATAGCTCTCCCACAGTGATGGTTTCAGGGGCCAGAGCCAATAGCCTCTTTGGATGCAAGAAATCCATTTTCATACAAAACTGGCAAGATAGAACCCCTACCTCACACCATGGCTGCCCAGGCAGGCAGGTGGGTGCAAAAATGCAGCCGCAGGGGGCGCCTGGGTGGCTCAGTGGGTTAAAGCCTCTGCCTTCAGCTCTGGTCATGATCCCAGGGTCCTTGGATCAAGCCCCGCATCAGGCTCTCTGCTCAGCAGGGAGCCTGCTCCCCACCCCCACCCCCCGCCTGCCTCTCTGCCTACTTGTGATCTCTGCCTGTCAAATAAATAAAATAAAACTCTTAAAAAAAAAATGCAGCCGCAGGGTGGAGTCCCTGTCCACAGCCACTCCTGGGGCTCCAAGATGCTGCCCACCTGCCCCCCAGTTCTGTGGGCAGGCTGGCACCTGGAGACAGAAAACCCAGTTCTTAATGACCCGCCATGCACCCCCTTTTCTTGCCCCTGGCTCTATTCACTGGCTACATCCGGATCTTGGGACTCCTGGCACCACTCGCATAATCTGGTCTCCGGATTCCCGCAGGGAGTCCTGATGGCTTTCTGGGTGGCGGTGATACCATGCTACCAGGGAGGGTCTGTTTGCCTGGAGGCCATGGTACACCCGGCACTTTTTAGCTCCCGGGAAGGCAGCAGGGGAGAGGTCAGACCTAGGAGCTGCAGCCATGGGGGACAGACAGATGACATCAGCCCACCCCAACCCTCTTCCCCCCCCCCCCTTCCCAGCAGGCTCTCTCCATCTCTGGCATTGCCAGGTCCCAGGAGCTCCAGGTGCTAGCAGCACCTTGCTCTCCTTTCTCTCCCTCCCTTGCCCTCCCTCTGCTGTTCCAAAGACCACCAGGGAACCCAAGGGATGCCCTGATGCAGAGAGAGGTCAAGGGCACCGCAGGGCCATACTCTCTGGAAACTGTTTCTTTCCAGGTGGATTAATCCAGGAAACCCTGATCTCTAGGGCTCAGTCCATAACCCAGATCAATCCTGCCTTGGTGGGGTGACACAGGAAACCCCATTTTTCTGGGGCTGACCCCCAATTCAGGCCCTCCCAGCAGAGCCATTTCCATTTGTATGTTTTGGGTTTGTTTTTTTTTTAGGACTCTTGGTATGTTAAAAAAATTTTTTAAGAAATGCCAACGTGGAGTTTATGAACTTTGATACAGGTTAACTTGGGCCAGTGAACCTCCATGTCTTCAGGATCAACTGTTAACAACACACTGGGTCATAACCTCAAAGGTCTAAATCAGGGTTTCTCTACTTTGGTCTTATTGACATTTAGGGTTTCCATACTTCTTTGCATTAGGGTGTTGAGCAGCAAGCGACCCCCTGGATTACAGAATCCCACCGATCCCCCCCACCCAAAGAGACACTGCCTTCATGACCTCCAGACCTACTGAGGCCCTAGGCTGCGGCAGGCATTTAAGTACACATCTGAGTGGGGCAGTTAGAGGAAGTGACTCACAGACCCGTGGGGGGGGGTCCCCCTAGTCTATACCGTGTAACAGCTGTCTAACCCACCAGAAATCTATTCTGAGGTCTAGAGTGAGCTAGGGGGTCTCAGTTTTTTCCCACTTGGCAACACAAGGTTTCCCAGAACTCAACACTACTGCCATTGGGTGCCAGATCATTCTTGGGGCCCCGGAGGGATTGTACAGTCCTGGGCACTGTAGAATGTTTTGGCGACATTCATCCACTAGATGCCAGTACACGCCCCATCCAGGCTTGACATTGCCAAGTGTGCCCTGGGAGGGCAGAATCACCCCCTGTTGAAAACGAAGGGGGGTGGTGTCAAAACCAAAAGCCACGGGCAAATGTGAGGCCCTAGGCACGCTGCCAACCCGACTGATCTCACCCCCTCCCCACAGTAGCTGGAAACCACAGGGCATGTGGAGGAGGTGAGGAGGAGGCTTCCTGGGAAAGGCAGAGTTAGAGGTCAGGAGAAGGTGGCCCCAAGAGGTCTGGCCTTCCCTTGAGGGTCAGCACAGGAAGTCTCTCCCAGCCCCTGATTATGACTGTAACACTAATAGCTACAATTTATTGTTTACTCTTCCCAGGAAAAATTGGAGCCGGCTTTTTGTTAACTGGGCCCTCTTATGGGACCCTCCCAGTGGCCCTACAGGCGGGCACTCTTGACTGCCCCGGCTTGCAGATAAGGAAATTCAGCCAAAGACAATGGCCTGTGCAAGGTCATACAGCTAACAAGGCCTTGTGATGAATGACAATACTGGAGCAGAGAGGGGTCTATGGGGGTGGGGGGGAGAGCAAGGCAGCCCCCAGGGGCGGGGGTGGGGGGGGTGCTCATCACCCACCCCGTGTATAGTCCCGCTAGAAGTCTTACTCCTTGATGTTCAACCCCAGGCAAGGCTGGGTCTGGCCCCAACTGCCACGGACCCAAAGCCCAATGGGGGAGGGGGGGCACAGTGTTCCCTACAACCTCCATCACCTTCCAGAAGCATCCCCAGCCAAACGTGGAAGAAAAATCTTGTTACTTACTATGCGGCTTCAAGTCCTCTGGGGACTGACCGCCCCCCTCCCCAAACACACCGCAACTCCGGAGCCCCCAGCGCGGCCCCACTAGGAGTCCTCTCAGTTGACGCCAGGGTTCTGGCAAATAAGACCTAAATGGAATGGGGAGGCAGGCCACGGATGAGAAACTGAGGCAGGGCCGCCCTGGGGGTAGGTGGGAGGAGGGCAGGGGAGAGGCCGGCTGTCTCGGGTGCTTGTTTAGTCGGATCTCCGCAGGAGCCGGATGGCCAGGCCGGGCTGGGAGCCGGCGGGTGGGAGGAGGAGATGGTCCGGCGGAGTTTGGGGGGCTTCATCCCACGGCCCGCGGTGGGGGAGCATGCGGCACTGGAGTGGCCCAGCCGGTGCCCCCGGAGGTCTCCAGGCGCTGGACGTGGGAAGGGGGGTAATCCCTCCACCCTCTCAACCTCCGTCCCGGGGCGGGACCAGGGGGCGGAGCGGGCCGGTGACCCGCCGTGACGCGGGCCCCGCCCGCTCATATAGAGGCGCCCCGGGGGCGCAGGGACCGTGTTTCGCCTTCGCCGCCGCCGCCGCAGCGTCTGCCTAGCGTCCCGCCGCCGCAGCTCCCCCATCAGCGCCGCCGCCGCGTCCCCCATCAGCGCCGCCGCCATGCGGGAGATCGTGCACCTGCAGGCCGGCCAGTGCGGCAACCAGATCGGGGCCAAGGTGCGCGGGGGATGGGGCGTCGGAGGCCGCCGGGAGTAGCGGAGCGGGTCCGCGAGCTCTGCAGAGCTCCCCTACCTTGGGCCCTTCGGCGGGATGGGGTGCCCAGGAGGCCAGCACCCCAGGGACGGCTGGGGGAGGAGGGCGGGGGCAGAGCCAGGCCGGGAACAAAGAGGGCGATGGGGGTGGGGCCGAGCCTTCTGTCCGCGGGCCACAGCTGGCTTCACAGCTGGCCCACTGTCCTCGTCACATGCACAAAGAGACACTGCCCCTCCCCGCGGCTGCAGCCTAGGCGAGCTGACGCCGGCAGGATAGGTTGAGGTGATGACTCTGCCCCACCCCGCCCCCACCTCTCCCTTCTTGCTGCCTCATCCCTGCCTCCCCACCATGCCTCCCGGTCCCCCATTCACCTTGCTGGGGTACAGGTTGGCAGCTAGGGAGGTCGTTGAAGGTCGTGGACCCAGAGAGGCAGGGACAGGCCTGGCCTCCTGTTTCCCTTCCCTCTGCCCTTAACACCAAAACCACCATCCCTCTAGTTTTGGGAGGTGATCAGTGACGAGCATGGCATCGACCCCACCGGCACATACCACGGGGACAGTGATCTGCAGCTGGAGAGAATCAACGTGTACTACAATGAGGCCACAGGTAGGGCTCAGGGGCACCTGCCAGAGTGGGGGCCGGGAGGCCGAGAGGGGACAGGATGCTGGTTCCTGGCACTCCCGCACCCCAGCTGCCCTCCATCTGCTTCCCTGCAGGAGGAAATTACGTTCCCAGAGCCGTGCTGGTGGACCTGGAGCCTGGCACCATGGACTCTGTCCGCTCTGGCCCATTTGGCCAGATCTTCCGGCCTGACAACTTTGTGTTTGGTGAGTTTTAGGCACGAGAAGCCCCCTCCTTGTTCCTTTTACTTCCAAATGCTTGGTGAAAATTCTCCACATGGCATGGGAGACTCACAGGGACCCACAGCCCAGTGGAGGAGGTGGCAGGGCAGTCAGGGCTGTGACAGGGGACACACAGGCCACTGTGGGAGTCCAGGACAGGCATGTGATATGGGGGAGGGTGCAGAGAAGACTTCCTGGAGGAGGTGGCATTTGAATTTAACAGTATGGACCTGAGCCAGACTGCCTGTGTGAAAATGACAGCTCTGCCATTTCATGCATTCCACAAATAATTTATCGAGCACCTACCACATACCAGAAGCAGTACCCCCAGATGGACAAAGCAGATGAAACTCTCTACCCTAAGGGAACCAACCTCCTGATGGAGGGAGATGGGCAACAGAGAAGATAAATAAGTACAAGTCAGCCACTGATTGAGTCAGCTGGGGGACTTCCACCGGGCTCTTTAATCTCTGTGCCCCATCTCCACATCTTTAAAACAAGGGTTATAAAAAAGACCTACTCATCGGGATCTCAGGATGGCCAGGCTTAAAGCCATTAATATGTGTAAAGCACTTAGAACAATGCCCAGCAGAGAGCAAAAGGTAAATAAGCAAGTGTTGTTTTCACCATCATCATCAGTTTCTGCTGTCTAAAACAGGAGCAGTGCCAAGAAGCACTGAAGGGAGGAAAGGTGTGCAAGACAGAGGGAACAGAAGTGAAAACAACAAGACACATTTGCAGCACTCAGACTCAAGGAGCAAGCACACTCCGTGAACAACTTTCTCTGAAACCTTTCCCAGCGCCTCCTAAGTCAGGCTGGCTGCATAACACCCACTTGGCCTCAGACCCCAAGCTCCACCCTCTCCCCCAGCACCCCAGGGAACCTCTCTTCCTCAGAGCCGGTTTAGAGTCTGAAGTCTAGGCATTGACAGAACAAGCTGTGTGACCTTGGACAAGTGACTTCCCCTCTCTGGTCTAAGCGATGTCAGCAATCAAATCAATAATGATATGTATCAATATCATGATATGATACGATCAATATAATCAGTATCAATAATGATACTGCGTGGGTATGGCGTGGGTATGGCGCACAATATGTCCTGAGGATCTAGCTGTGGAAGGACTAAATAATGTTGGCCAAAGGGTGTGAGGGATTCTAGGATGACCACGGTTGGCTCCATCGGGGCTAAGAGATTCTATGGTCTCTGGGAGAGAGGGTAGGGAAGGCAGTGGAGCCAGCTTGCCTGGCAATCCTATTTTCTCTAAGGCAGTGACATGGCACAGAGACCCGAAGGAAGAGTCAACCATGTGAATACCTGGGGGGGAGGGCATCCCAGGCAGCAGAACAGCGGGTGCAAAGGTCCTGGGGCGGCATCAGGCCTGGTGTGCTGGAGAAACAGCAAGGAGGCCTGTGTGGCCAGAGCAGAGTGAGCAAGGGGGAGAGAGGGAGGAGGTAAGAGCAGGGAGGTGACAGGGTAGGGGTAGGTTATTCAAAGCCCTGTGGGCTGCAGGGAGGACTTTGCCTGTCTCTTGAGGGGGTGGGAACCCTGGAGGTTTGTGGGTAGAGGGGGGTAACCTGACTCGGGTGCTCACAGGCACCCTCTGGCGGCTTGGAGGAGAACAGACTGGAAATAAGAGATGACGATGAGGGTGGGAACCAGTCCAGGGTAGGGCTGATGAGGTCACACCAGTGTGGAGTCAGAGGAGAGGGGATGAGAAGAAATGTTACCTTTTTGTGAAAATACCAGCACGAATTCTAATACTAATCCTTGTCCTCCTGGAGCTCACACTTCCCTGTGAGATTACAGACAATAAACATGATTAATAGGACAGCACAGGTTTGTCAGTGTTTGCAGGGGGGAAATAATAAGCAGGCAAGAGGGATTAAAAAAATGGGAAAGGGTCCAGTTGTTTAGAGTGATCAGGGAGAGCCTCACTGAGGGTGATAAGGTCCTGAAGGAGGTGAGAGAGCCACATGGGTATCTGCTGGAAGAGCATTTCAGGCAGAGGGAATGCATGTGCAAAGGCCCTGGGGCAAAAAATGTGCCTGGTGTGTTGGAGGAACAGCAAGGAGGACCCTGTGGCTGGAGCAGAGTGATGGGGGGGAGGGTGAGAGGTGGGGGGCTGTGAGGAAGTGGCCCGTCCTGCAGGGCCTTGCAGGCTGAGGGGAAGACCTGGGTTTTTACTAAAAAGTGGAGCTGGATTTTGAGCTGAAGTGGGATGGCTCTGAGCCAAAGTGGGGCATGAATCGATTCGGGTTTTACCCAAATCCCTCTGGCTGCTGGATGAAGAGAGGCAAGGAGGGAAGCAGAGAGAAGGACTAACAATCATACTAACGAAATAACAACCTCATTATCCAACCGCTAGCATGGCCGGGGGTGGCAAGGAGGGCGAGCTCTCCCCATAACCGCGGGGCATGCCCCCTCTCCGCCCCTCCCCTCCGCAGGCCAGTCGGGAGCCGGCAACAACTGGGCCAAGGGCCACTACACGGAGGGCGCCGAGCTGGTGGACGCCGTCCTGGACGTGGTCCGGAAGGAGGCGGAGAGCTGCGACTGCCTGCAGGGCTTCCAGCTGACCCACTCGCTGGGGGGCGGCACGGGGTCCGGGATGGGCACGCTGCTCATCAGCAAGATCCGCGAGGAGTTCCCGGACCGCATCATGAACACCTTCAGCGTGGTGCCGTCGCCCAAGGTGTCGGACACGGTGGTGGAGCCCTACAATGCCACACTGTCGGTGCACCAGCTGGTGGAGAACACGGATGAGACCTACTGCATCGACAACGAGGCCCTGTACGACATCTGCTTCCGCACCCTGAAGCTGACCACGCCCACCTACGGTGACCTCAACCACCTAGTGTCGGCCACCATGAGCGGCGTCACCACCTGCCTGCGCTTCCCCGGCCAGCTAAACGCCGACCTGCGCAAGCTGGCCGTGAACATGGTGCCCTTCCCGCGCCTGCACTTCTTCATGCCGGGCTTCGCGCCACTCACCAGCCGCGGCAGCCAGCAGTACCGCGCGCTCACGGTGCCCGAGCTCACGCAGCAGATGTTCGACGCCAAGAACATGATGGCCGCCTGCGACCCGCGCCACGGCCGCTACCTGACCGTGGCCGCCGTCTTCCGCGGCCGCATGTCCATGAAGGAGGTGGACGAGCAGATGCTGAGCGTGCAGAGCAAGAACAGCAGCTACTTCGTCGAGTGGATCCCCAACAACGTGAAGACGGCCGTGTGCGACATCCCGCCGCGGGGGCTCAAGATGGCCGCCACCTTCATCGGCAACAGCACGGCCATCCAGGAGCTGTTCAAGCGCATCTCCGAGCAGTTCACCGCCATGTTCCGGCGCAAGGCCTTCCTGCACTGGTACACGGGCGAGGGCATGGACGAGATGGAGTTCACCGAGGCCGAGAGCAACATGAACGACCTGGTGTCCGAGTACCAGCAGTACCAGGACGCCACGGCCGAGGAGGGCGAGTTCGAGGAGGAGGCCGAGGAGGAGGTGGCCTAGGGCCCCCAGGAACCTGGAACCTCGCGGCTGCTGCTTCCGCTTCTGCTTGCTTCCGCTTCCGCTCGGGCCCTAGCTGACCTTTGACCCGTGAGCCTTCCCTCCCCGCCCCCACTTGCGCTCCTTCTCCTGGACCTCCCCCAAGAACCCCAATGGCGCCCCCAGACCTATGAGCCCCAGTTGACTGTCGTCCACCCCTCCTACTGAGCTCCCCCTCACCTCTGATCTCTGGCTCCCCGAGCGCCCCTCCCCTCCCCTCCAGCTCTCGCCAACCTCGGTTCCCCCCTCAGGGGTGGTGGAGGGCGGCCGCTGCTCCGCTGCTGCAGCCTGGGAGCGTGCGTGCCAAAGGCGCTGTGCCCTCGACCCTCCCGCCTCCCTTCGCCTCAGCTTAATAAACGGTGTCCTGCCCTGTTTCTGTCCTGTGCATTTTTCGTCATCCTGCGCCATCTGGCAAGTGAGCCTTTTGGGATGGAAGGGGGTGGGGACGGGATGGAAGGGGGTGGGGACGGGGCATCTGCTCTGGGGGTGCTGGGGAGCGGGATAGAGGTTTCAGCGTCCCATCCCCGGAGAGTGGGGTAACTGAGTAGGGCAAGCCACTTGCCTTCTCTGAGCCTAGATTTGTTCAGAAGGGGTGGGAGGAGGGCATCACTTTCCCTCTGTAGTCTGCTGGGGGATCCTCACAGCATGGTGACTGGTCCCCGCACCCCGCCCCCAGCAACCATCGCAAGAGAGCAAGGCAGAATACACTGCATTTGCCTGACTACCTTCAGAAGTCAGAGAGTGTCCTCCAGACTCCTAACCAACAGGCTCAGGAAGGCCTACGCAGGTTCGAGAGGTTGGGATGTAGACTGGAGGCAAGATTCCAGAAGGGCATATGGGATGGGAGACGTGGCTGTGACCATCTTTGGAAATTGCAGTTTGCCGGAAGGAGTCTCTTGCATGAAGCCCACAGCTGTGAAGCGGTGAGCCAGAGTCCAGGCGCTGACCCGGTGAAGCCTCGAACTCTGATTCCCCTTTATCAGCCAGAGCTCAGTGCAAGGACTGTGGTAGGCATTTGGAGCAGAAAGGGATTTAATGCAAGGATTTAGGGGCTTGTAACATTGTTGGAGGGACTGAAAGTGAGTTGTAAGCCAGTATTTCTTAAACTTTGATGTGCAAAAGAATCACCAAGAAGGGGTGCCTGGCTGTCTCAGCGGGTAGAACACACTCGTGGTCTCGGGGTCATCAGCTCAAGCCCCAAGGTGGGTGTAGAGCTTACATTTTTAAAAAGAAAATGTAAAAAATTAAAATCAACAGGAAAACTTGGCTAGAGCATGGCTTCCTGGGTTCTACATAGAGTTCCTGGTGTAGTAGATTGGGGGAGTAGGGCCCAAGACTGCATATTTTTTTTTAAGATATTATTTTTATGTAATCTCCCTTACCCAACGCAGGGCTCACACCCACATCCCGAGATCAAGACTTGCGCGCTCCACTGACTGAACCATCCAGGCACCCCCAGACTTTGCATTTTTAACAAGCTCCCAGCTGATGGGGTTGGTGCTGCTCATAAGAGCACATTTTTTAGTAGCCCTGGAATCATGTGGAACATCACAGAGCTCGGCCATCAGGGAGCTGCTTCCTCTACTCAGTGAGAAAGGTAGAGACTTGAGAGGCTGCCCCCAGAATTACCGAATCCAAGCACATCTCCCAACACCCGCAAAGCTGGAAATAGGCACGCACACACACACAGAGTTCTGCCTCTCTGCCTTCCAAATTTTATGAGCATTTTTCCTTGGTAGAAATTCATCTGCAACCAGAACTGGAGCTGGGAAGAAGTCTAGGAAGCATTTTGTTTTGTTTTGTTTTTAATTTTCTCACTTCTGCAATACCAAAGGCACGCAAACCAGGAGGAAGAGAAGAAAGGAGGAGAGATGCTGAGAACCAGTCAGCTCTTTCCACCACACTCTATGCTCGCCCACCACACCCAGACTGGCCTTCCAGCCCGCTGACTGGATCCCACCGCAGCTAGGAGGAAGTGTAGAGACAACAGCCTGGATACCCCACCCCCACCAACCCACAGCTCAGCAGGCTCAGCACAGTGAGGGGTGGTGGAGCAGAAAGACAATGGATGAGGCAGTGAACTTGGCTCTCTCTGTCATCTAAAACCTAACGTGGCCCCAAAAGAACTCCCTCTTCTATTCCCAAAACATCCCCTTCTCCAATGAATGGCACCATCCCGTTGCTCAAACCCCAAAGCTAGCAGTCAGCCTTGATTCCTCGTTTCCTATGCCCTGCACACACTTCCTATCTTTTGCTGAGGCTCACTGTCTGCGTCTCCAAAATGTATGGCAAATTTGACCCCTTCTCCCCACTTGTCTATACCCTGGTGTAAGCCACCATTTTCCACATTCAGAAACCTCCCTGCAATCGCTTTCCTGGACACCCTTCTGCCACCCCAGTCACCCTGAAGTGAGTCCTCCTTCCAAAGCAGCCAGAGAGGAGCCTTTATATGCAAATAAGAGACTGTCCCTCCCCAGCTCAAACCTTCCCACCACTCTCCTCACACTCAGGCTGAAACCCAAATTCTCACCTTGGTCTCTACCCGCTGCTGACTCCATCCCTATCACCCTCCCCCACACTCATTAAGCTGAAACTGCAGTGACCTTTTTGTGCTCAATCCAATCAAGCTTGATTCAACCTCAGGGCCTTTGTGCATGCCATTCTGCTACCAGAGGTGCTCACGACTGGCCACTTCTGGTCTACAGCTTTCCATTCAAATGTCACCTCCTCGGAGCAGCCTGCCCTTGGCAAACAGAAATTAGCACCCAGCCCCTCTCCATCCGCTATCTTGTTCCATTTCACTGATGGCACCTATTGCTAACTCACAAATTATCTTGTCTATTTACACACCTGTTTCTTTTGTCTGTCCTCTTGCCTCTCCACGGGTATGTAAGCTCCACAACAATAGGAACCTTGTCTACCTTGGTCACCACGTGCCTAGAACAGCCTGATGTAACACAGGCCCTCAGTAATTCTTTGTTGCATGAATGAGCGAGCGCACTGTAGATGTCCCAATTTCCTCCTTCTACAGAGAGAAGAATGAAGGAGAGAGTACAGAAGGCAGCTTCTCAGACTAATGCCCCAGGAGGCCCATCTCCCCTACTCACGCCCTTGGGTGATCCCCTCCCATTGAGTGTGGGGCTGGATCTGGTGATGGCTTCTGACCAACAGGGTACATCAGAGGTATTGTGACACCACTTCCAAGATCAGGTTACAAAAGACTGGGACTTCCATCTTGATGAGCTCTGTGGCCTTCTCAGCTTGCTTGCAGTAGTGAAGAAAGCAGCATGTTGGGAAGGTCCACATGGCAAAGAACCAAGGGTATCCTCTAGCCAGCAGGCAGTGAGGGCCTGAGATGCTCGGTCCAACAATCCACAATGAACCCAGTCCTGCCAACAACTAAATAGCGAGCTTCAAAGCAGTCCCTTCCCCAGCTGGTCCTACGGATGAGACCACAGCCCTTTAGGCTCCTTACTACAGCTAAGAGACCCCGCAGTAGAAGATTCTGATAAGCTGTGCCCTGAGTTCTGGCCCTCACAGAAACCATCAGATGACAAATATATGTTCTCTTATGCCACTGACTCTAGGGTGATTTGTTACACAGCAATAGTTAATTAATACAGAGAAGTCAAATGACTTGCCTAAGGTCATTAAAGGAGGGAGACATTAAAGAATGGAGTCAGGCCCTTGAACTCAGGTCTCTGAGACTCCAAGGTCACTTTCTTAAACATTCAGCTGACCTTCCTCCCACAATAACAGACAGAGCATATCAAAAGCTTGATTCAGGGGGCGCCTGGCTGGCTCAGTGGGTTAAAGCCTCTGCCTTCGGCTCGGGTCATGATCCCAGGGTCCTGGGATCGAGCCCCACATCGGGCTCTCTGCTCAGCAGGGAGACTGCTTCCTGCTCTCTGCCTGCCTCTCCCCCTACTTCTGATCTCTGCCTGTCAAATAAATAAATAAATAATCTTAAAAAAAAAAAAAAAGCTTGATTCAGGCCTCATAGTAAACATTTTACATGAATTCTCTCACTGAGACATCACAGGATCTGTGAGACAGGCACCATACCCATTTACATTCCAGATACAACTCTGAGCTGCCCAGAGAATCCCACTCTGAGTTCACACATCAGAGGTGTAAACACAGTCACAAAAGACATGCACAGAATCACCTGCATCTTTACACAGTCTGATGGAGGAGACACAGACCCCACAGCCACACAGACGCCCACCTCCAGACTCCCCCAGGACATGCCAGGCATGTGAATTCTCACCTGTGCACACCTATATCCATACAGACCTTCTCAGTACCTTTCAGGAGGCCAAGGATTCTCACAGGGTCTGTTGAATTTGGACTCCCTCGGTCTGCCTCTGGGGTTTTCTGTGTATGTGCGTGAACATGGGTACCTGTATTGTGTTCTGCCTTTGTGCCTGCAAGTATGTCCTTGTGCTTCCCAAGGACAAGGTGGCCGTCTGTCCACTTGCATTCTGTCTTTTTCCGGGTCTGCAACTCTGCTTGGGGGTGTCTGGATGGGTCTCTCTCCGTGTGCATGACTATGTCTGGCTATGACTCTGGCTCGGGGCGGGGTCCTGATCATGTCTGTCCCTCTGTTACTGTTCTCTCTGTATCTGCACTCTATGCACTTCTGTCTCTTGTCCAGATCTGTATTTCCATGGTCCTGTCTGTACCCACAGCTGTGGTCTGTAGTCTTTGTCTGGAACCAGCTGCTGGCTGCACCTGTGTGTCACCTCTGCATCTGTCACATGGCTGGGCAAGGACTTCTCTGGATGTGTGCTGTCCCTCTGCACTCCTGGATTTGTGTGTCCGTGAGGACACTCTGTCTGTGGGACGTTCACCTCCCTGGCTCCCCTCTGTCCACTCTCCAGCCTGGCTCCCTCTGGTGGTCCTACAGGGAATGGCCGGTGCTGATGGGCCAAAGGAAGGAAGAGTTGAGGAAAAAGAGGAAGCATTTCAGGCAAATTGTGACTCTTTGGCTGCCCCAGAGAGAGGAAGGCTTGGGTGTGATGTCACGGACTAGAGGTGCTTTGGCCTGGCAGAGCGGTGCTGGGGGTCTAGCCTCTGAGCCTGCCACCCATGCTCACCCTACCCTCAGAAGGCTAGGAGGCAGGATGCCTGGGTCTCTCACAGTGGGTGGGGGCGGGGGCCTCCCTCCAGGACGTCACCCCGTCAAACTTCCTCTCCCAGCCACACAGGAAGTTGAGCGGGCTCAGGGCCCAGCCCTGCGCAAGCACAGGCCCCCAGGACCCCTGGGGCAAGGGCCCCGCTGCCGGAGGTGGCCCTGCAGGGACCATGGGATCCAAAGCAGAGTAAGAGCTGCGCCCTTCCCCACTCTCTGGACCACGACTCCCAGAGCAGG